TTTCTATCGCCACTGATGCTACCATATTTACTGAGTTTCTCCAGCACTTTCTGTTTTTATTATCCATTCAATAGAAGTGAATTCCATAAATCACAGACCACCTCGGTTTTACTCATTGAAAGCCACACGCTATTAGCGAAGAGCTAATGGATAAGCTGAGAGATGTATGAGTGACTAGAGAAAAGTGCTACATGTGGATACGTGAGAGAAAGAGTTGTGATGCTTTCTTTGCAATTAGAGAATGATTTCTTGGTTGATTCTGGAATGCTTCCAGTTACACGCATCTTTGCACATCCTACGTTCAGACGTCTTCCTGAATTACCCTGTGAAGCTATATGAATGTACAGAGCTGTGATGGAGAACAGAAGGATAGAATAAGAGTAAATGCAAAACAACAAATGAAATTTGCAACTACCTTGAGAAAGGCAGTGGATACAGTGCCAGTGAAATGTAGTGGTCATTACTCAAATGTAGGGAACCCCTTATGATGTCATCCATTTGTTGCGACCAGCACAAAGGGATCAATGATCACCGCTAAGCCCCATTCGCAAATGATCACACAAAATGTATAATTCTTCACAGCACTGAAAACACCATTCATTAGCATTGAATCTGATTTCAACATTGACATCTCAGATGAAGAACATACAACCACATTTTATATCAGACAATATCCTACAAGTACAAAGGATTCAGAAAAAGTACAAAGATGATGCCAGGATTGGAGGATTTAAGTTTTGGGGAGCGGCTATATATGTTGGGGTTATTTTCCCTGGAGCGAAAAAGGCTGAGGGGTGACCTTATACAGGGGGTTCTCCTATGATATGTGTTCTGGAAACGCAAATTGGCTACAACGCGATTGATGAATAGGGGAACAGTATTTGTAAAACGTGACCTTGTGTTGGCTACAACACGGTTCCATTGAGTAAAGATTAAATGTCATAAACCTCAAATATAATATCACGCAGAGAACAACCATCTTATTAGGAAAATACGTGAAGCCTTACTTTGAAGAGTTTATGATGAACACATTAAATGCATCAGCATTGTATAGAAAGGTCAGATTCCTCTGCTTCACTTATCTGCAAATCTATCCAGAAGTCTGTGTCAATGGAATGTCAGATCAGATCAGCATTTAAATGGGGGAAGGAATTTTACCAGGAAATTGCCAATGTATCAATTTTGGGGGAGTTTCAAGGAGGGTTGCTGACTGTGAGCTCTATCTCACACAATTTTGCACTATTCACCTCTTTTGGATCATGCTCGCACTAGCATGCAATACTGACATTGCTGGGATTTCCAGTGGCAGAACTCTATTTAAAGTGCAATTGTCACTTCATTGCAAGTACAAGGTCAGATTCATAAATGTATTGTCTCTTTGCAGCATCACCTATCTGAAAAACTGTCATTATGACTGCAGCTATAAGAACGAAGCCACACAGATGAGGAAGAATTTTGAAAAATATAATTGTTATGTGTCCTTTGTGCCCCTAACCCTGCTTTTCCCATAAGCTGCATTACGCAATTTTTTATAACGCGATGTTACGCTGAGGGGCAGGGATAGGGTAAATAGACAAAGCCTTTTCCTGGAGTGGGGGAGTCAAAACTAGAGAGTTTAGGTTTAAGTTGAGAGGGGAAAAATTTAAAAGGCACCTAAGCGGCAACTTTTTCATGCTGAGGGTGGAGCTTGTATGGAATGAGCTGCCATAGGAAGTGGTGGAGGCTGGTACAATTACAACATTGAAAAGGCATCTGGATGGGAATATATAGGAAGGGTTTAGAGGGATATGGGCCAAATGCTGGCAAATGGGACTAGATTTATCTAGGATATCTGGTCAGCATGGACGAATTGGACCGAAGAGTCTGTTTACGTGCTGTACATCCCTATGGCTCTATGACACTAAGTAAGAGGAAGCATCCAACAAACTGATGTGATTATGTTATTTGTTCACTGACTGAAAACAAACCTTCCATCTCATTTTATGTGACTGAGTGCACCAATAAATCTGTCAAAAAATATTTTTATTGTTTAAATTTATTGTTTATACTTTTGGAAACAAACCAATGAAACACCTGTGCTTCTCAGTTATGAAGAAAGGGATAGATATAATGTATTGAAAATTGCATTTTGTTCACTTAAGGCTACCACACACATATACCAGAACAGGGAGTTTGGAAAAGAATTAAGGAATCAAGTTCTAGCAGCACATGCGTAGTTCTGCTTCTTACTGGATCTTTCTAAGAATTTCATTTAGTAAGTGCTTTATACAGGATTTGAGAACCTGTACCCACAGACTAATGCTTGTAGTGCTTCCAGATAGTTGTTCCCATCCCACTTATTATTGAAATTGTCAGCACCCACCCATCTCACCTTCTGAAACTAACTGCAGTCTGCATTGTGATTGGGATTGCTTGACTTCCACTGATATTAAACCTTCCCGCTTTGAGAAGTTGCACTTGTGGGTAACTTCTCTGTATACTGGAAGCAGCTGAATTCTTTTATCGTGACATCTCTCAGCCCTATTGTCCAATGTGACATCTGACTTTCAAGTTTTGACTGCACAGGACCATTTAACAAATTTGCTTGTCACTCACCAAAGAAGGATGTGTGGTTTGCCAAAGTTATAAGGCCTCGGCAAGACTATGCCTGGAGTATTGTGTGCACTATTGGTCTCCTTAGTTTTTGTTAATTCATCCACAGGATATGAGCATTACTGGCTGGGCCAGCATTTATTGCCTATTCCTAATTGCCCAGAGGGCAGCTAAGAGTCAACCACATTGTTCTGGGTCTGGAATCACACGTAGGCCAAACCAGGTGAGGACAGCAGTGAGCGAGAGGGGTTTTTCCAGACTATTGATTCATGGTCATCATTATACTCTTATTTCCAGATTATAATTGAATTCAAATTCCATCATCTGCCATGGTGGGATTCGAATCTGGGTCCCCAGAATATTACTTGGTTCTCAGGATTAACAGTCTAATGATAATACCACTAGGCCATCACCTACCCTAAATACCTACACCCCCTCATCACCTACCTTCCTATCTGAGGAAGGATGTTCTGGCTATGGAGGGAGTGCAGCAAAGGTTTACCAGACTGATACCTGGGCTGGTAGGACTAATGAATCGGTTAAGATCATATTCACTGGAATTTAGAAGAATGAGGGAGTTCTTATAGGAACCTAAAAAATTCTAGCAGGACTAAACACAGAAAGGATATTCCTGATGAGTGAGGAGTTCTGAACCAGGTGTCACAGTCTAAGGATGTGGGCAGGCGATTTAGGCTGGAGATGAGAAGAGATTTCTTCACCCAGAGATTGGTGAGCCTGTGGAATACTTTGCCCCAAAAAGCAATTGAGGCCAAAACTTTGAATATTTTCAAGAAGGCGATAGATATATTTCTTAGGGCTAAGGGATCAAAGGGTATGGGGGCAAAACAGGGAACAGGGTGCTGAGTAGGATGATCAGCTGTGGTTATATTCAATGATGGAGCGGGCTCAATGGGCCAAATGGCTGTTACTATTTTCTATTTTTCTAACTTATTTTCAGCTGCAAGAGGGGCTCCAGCAATCATGTTATCTAAAGGGCAAAGCACCTAATTTGCAGCTAAGGCAATTCTGATTAGTTCTCATTGTAAGTTGTTTGGGTGCATACTGGAGAGTTTTTGCAGGTGGTGTGGTGAATTCCTGGATTTGGCAAGGAGTATTACTGCATTTGCATTGGAAAGGCAGAGGATTTAGTGATCTGACCACGCTAAGACTGTAGCTGCAGTTCTGGTGCCTCTGGCTCAGCAGTATGACAGGAAGATGGAATAGAGGCTACAAAGAGGGGAGGTGCCCTGTCCTATGGTGGGGGATTTCAAGACTAGGGGGTATATTTTTAAGGTGAGAGGAGAAAGATTTAAAAATGACATGAGGATGGTACATGTGTGGAATGAATTTCCTGAGCAAGTGGTGGATGTGGGTACAATTATAACATTTAAAAGACATTTGTATAAGTGCATGAATAAGAAATGTTTGGAGGGATATGGGCCAAGCACAGGCAAGTAGAACTAGTTTAATTTGGAATTACGGTCAGCATGGATTGGTCGGAGTGAAGGATCTGTTTCTGTGTCTCTATGACTCCAACTGTATGGCTTAAGAGATACAGCATCCTTGCCCCTCACTGGTTCTAACCTGCTCCTTTCCATTGTGCATCTCCCTGAACTGCAAGAGAGAATGTCAGTTAATGTGTTACACCCTGTTACGGTGATGTGCCTGCCCAAGCTGGTGTAACCACTAGGAACTGTGTGTGAGGTTGGCAGTGTCAGAATGTGTGCAAGGGTGAGGTGGAGTAACGTTTTTTATGCTAAGTTCTGAGGTCAGTGACTGGTGCTGGGTGAACGATGGGAAGGTGAATGTCAAGCAGCAAGAAAGGTCAGTGGTATGGTGGGAAGGAGACATCATGTGAAAATACATTCACTGACCTAGACCATGCGTCATCAGACCTCTTGTGGCACTCTACTGGCAGGGCTGTTGAAACTTCTTAGCTGCCTTCATGTGGTTGGACCAGCAATGTCGTTCCTCTTCTTGCCCTCTTTAATTGGACAGCAAGCCAGGAGGCAGCCAAAGCCTTTGGTAAAATTGCTGAGTTGGTCCCATTTCCAGTAAGTGTAGGCTTGGGATCACTATTCCACTCTGACCTCAGGGTCCCAAAGCCAGCGGGAAAATCCAGGCCCCGAACGTCCTGGGCCAGGTTTGCAAATATTGCTTTAAGCTGTTGTCATTATACTATTTCCGACAACAATTGCATACTTCACAGCTGAATCAATGAGATTTGTGTTTGTACTCTAAACATTAAAGGATTATCGTTGCAGGTTTGTCGTTGGCAACTGCTCACTCCTAATCACTAACCAAAACTTTCCTGCAAAAGTCACATGACCCAAAACTGCACATGACCCGAGTTGTTGCTTTGTGAAATAAAAGGCAACATCCTCTTAGAATTTCCTTAACAGAAGCAACAAATCTGCCCATCGACTGATCAGTAAAGCAATCCTGCTCAAACCACGAGTACCATTTGGAATTCAAATGTAAATAGGAGCTACCACTGGATAAAGGTGGGTTTATTGTAACAAAGGCTTGTAGTTATATATTCCACGATATCTTTCAGTATTCCAACAGTTTGTCATTAGCAATTATTAGCGCAATCCTTCTTTAAATGTGTGGTCAGGTTTCAGTAATGTAGTAGGGTGTGACTGCTATTTTAATCAGTGCTGTGACAGCAGTTGTAGCTTTCCTATCAGGAGAAGCCAATGGAGGGATTCAAGGCCAGAATGAGGCCGAAATGAATAGATTGCATTACTTTTGTACTTGCCTTGTGATATTAGGCGGAGGGAAGCTTCAATGTCCACAAGCAAAGCCCATCCATCTCCTAAAATTTGCATGTCCAATTATATCAGCTTAAATGATCCTCCTTGGTTATGTTGAAAATAGAGTCATTAGAGTTATACAGCATGGAAATAGACCCTTCAGTCCAACTCATCCATGCCGACCAGATATCCTAAATTAATCCAGTGTCATTTGCCAGAATTTGGCCCATATCCCTCTAAACCCTTCCAATTCATATACCCATGCAGATGCCTTTTAAATGTAATTGTACCAGTGTTCACCACTTCCTCTGGCAGCTCATTCCATACATGCAGCACCCACTGCGTGAAAAAGTTGCCCCTTATGTCCTTCTTAAATCTTTCCCCCCTCACCTTAAACCTATGCCCTCCAGTTTTGGACTCCCCTACACCAGGCAAAAGACCTTGGCTGTTCATCCTATCCATGTCCCTCATGATTTTATAAACCTCTATAAGGTCTCCTGTCAGCCTCCAACACTCCAGAGAAAATGGCCCCAGCCTATTCAGCTTCTGCCTGTAACTGAAACCGTCCAGTCCCGGCAACATCCTCGTAAATCTTTTCTGAATGGAAAGGAGAAAGGGAGTTGCGTAAATAGAGCATTTTTCATGACCTCAGCTAGTGAAGTATTTCTGAAGTGAAGTCACTGCTGTCAAACACTAAATATTAAGAAGATTAATGCTGTTGCCTTTGGTACTCACCAAAAATCCTATCCCCTGACAACTGTTCTATCTGAGATAGTAGTAACTGCAGATGCTGGAGAATCTGAGATAACAAGGTGTAGAGCTGGATGAACACAGCAGGCCAAGCAGCATCAGAGGAGCAGGAAAGCTGACATTTCAGGCCTTGACCCTTCTTCAGAAATGGGGGAGGGGAAGGGGATACTGAAATAAATAGGGAGAGAGGGGGAGGTGGGTAGAAGATGGATAGAGGAGAAGATAGGTGGAGAGGAAACAGACAGGTCAAAGAGGCGGGGTTGGAGCCAGTAAAGGTGAGTGTAGGTGGGGAGGTAGGGAGGAGATAGGTCAGTCCAGGGAGGACAGACAGGTCAAGGGAGCGGGATGAGGTTAGTAGGTAGGAGATGGGGGTGGGGCTTGAGGTGGGAGGTGGGGATAGGTGGGA